CACTTAGTAAAAATTTAGCGAAACTAAAGGTTTTACCGTTTTGCCAAATCCAAAATGAGTTTAGATAAGCAACCTTAAATTTAATAAATTTGAATTTTCTAATTAAAAGAATATTTTTTGAAGGTATAGATTTAATTATAAATAGAAGATATTAGGAGGTTTGCTAGGAAAATGGAACTCTGAGAAATTTTTATTAAAATTTTAATTTTTATTACATTTTAATTTTTGATAATGTTAGATTAAAATGCAATATATATCAATATTAAAATTTTAATAAAAAATGCCTAGAGCTCCATTTTTCTAGAAAACCTCCTATATATATATATATATTATTTTAATGTAATAATTTTAAATTATTTTTTGAATTAAAATTAATCTTTTCTAATATTTATAATCTAAATAGTATTATTTACAAATATCAAATATGATATATAATATAAGCTAATATAATTTTTATAATATTAAAAGTGGATTGTTAAATAATTCTATATTATAATTAAGATTAAACTTTCAAAACTTTAGAGAAATGATAATTATAATATCAACTTATATAAAAGTGAGATAATTTTTTCTTTAATTAAAAATTAATTTAGAATATCATAAGGATTTATTTTATGTTAGCAAAAGTTGTAAAACTTAATCTTTTTATTAAAAAAAAAATGATAAAGTTAATAGTTTTTGTGAGAATTTTAAGATGTTGCATAACTTTCTATAATACAAAAATATTTTATTTTATCATATATTTTTGATATATTAATTATATAAATTTCCATTAAATTATTTATTAACTAGATGTAGATTGATGATAAAATTCTGGAAAAAAAAGGTCTTTTGCAAAAACAATTTTTTTTATTAAAGTTCTAAATAAAGTACAAAATATTTTGGGGGTGTTTTTTTGTACACGCTAACCAATTTCCAACATGAATGAAAATTTCTATTAATAAATTGAAAGACAATTAAAATTTTTAGAAAATTTTTTTAAAAAGAATTTTTTGTACATATATATCACTTTGATCATTTTTGATCAAGTACAATTATTATTTAAGATTTTTTTTTTGAAAAATTTAATTTTTTACATTTTTTAAATGAATCAAAAAAAAAAAAGAAGCTTGAACTTTTTTCTTTTTCACATTTGAATTACAATATTCATTAACGAAATGTTTAATTGGCGCAGATCACCAGTTCGTGATTGTTGAAATGATCAGTATAAATATACAATAATTTTCTTATTATAAAAACATTATTGTCTCATAAAAAAAGAAATTTGATTTCTTTTTTTCTATTATTGATTGATAAATAAATAAGTAGCGCGTAAACTTTGATTATAATTTTTGAAAAATAATGGCCACATACAAATTAAATGATGCAAATCAAATGATCCATCATTTTCCTTTGCGTTTGCATCAATTAAGAACTAATCTCATGCGCAGAAATAATGTATTTTACTCAGCCCTGATATCAACCAAATCACAATTGTTGAATTAACAATAAAATTACGGCTATTTAAACTCACAAAATCAACTTTTCTTCTTGCAATTTTAAATTTATTTCAAACTTACACAATAACGAAAAAAATCATCATGGAAAAGTGGAACCCAAAACGAATTATTCAAAAGTTTAAAAAGACAAAAATGGAAAAACTCGCTGAGAAAATTGGAGTTGGTAAGTAAACATTGACAAGGAACAACTGATATTTTCGTATGTGTACAAGAACGAACTAAATGACTTCTAATTTAGAACCTTTGGCTCTGCCAACTTACCTACAAAACGAAGATACCGCTGCATTGATACTTAAAGCTACAAAACAAATGAATGTTGATGATTCCGCCATTTTTATTCAGTGGAGCAATGCCGGATTTAACGACACCGCTGTGGCAAATTGTCGTAATGGTGTCGCTGGCCAGAATCAAACCGCTATTATTAATTACATCGTAGGTAGTGGTGGAAGTAATTTTAATGATCTAAACACCATGTTCTTGTTTAGAAATAATTTTGCAATTGCTAGATGTCAATATAGTTTTCCTCTATGGTATGAGAATTTTCTTTCATTTTTTGGGGGTTAATCATGTTCTAACGATTTCTTTTTTTCTAAAGGACCTATCATCAAGAGGGAGTTCCGGACGTTTGTCATTCTATTTGCAGAATTAACAAGTTATCAGCTTCCGGTAGAATCAATTATGAACCGTTTGATTATCCTTTTGTGGTGTAAATCGATACTTATTTGATGTCCAACTGCAAAAATATACTGTACGTAAAAAAAAACCCATTTCTTAATATTACCATATAATTTCTTGTCGATATCTAATACATTACTTTAACAACATTTACCATTCAAAAAATGTAGTGCGCAAACCAAAAATTAACCGGAATTTACTGTATCACAAAATATTTTTCCCACGCGAACTCCACGTGATTTGTGACTGAAATTACGAATAATGGTTCTGTGACCAATGATTTTTTAATCTTCTTTTTTTCAAATAATCAAAACCACTTTGCTACTTTAGTTTAATTAGTTTATTCTGATGCAAATAATACTGTATGCAATACATATAGATGAATAATGATTCGTAATTTTCATTTTAATTTGAACTTTATCATTCTTAATAAATACTATTAAATTTTATATTGATATTTATTAATAATTGATTGCAAATAGATCAAATAATGTACATAATTTTTTTTTTTTTTAGTATCAAACTAAAGTTCCCACTCATTATTTGATTCATAAAATCTTCATCGATGGGATTAATTGATAAAATTCACTAATCGCCAATTATTGTTACAATCAATTTATATACAAATTACCTCACGTTTTTGTTTTGTACAAGAAATTCGCTAGGAATTATATGCGTAAACAAAAAAAAGGTATACAAAGTTTTAAATATTTCTTTACACTTACTTTCATAAATACTTGTACTTACTGACTTACTGTTAATTAACAAAATAATTTGAAAATCTCAACCAAATTCCATAAAAAACTATTTACCTAAGCAAATTGACATATCCCTATTATAATTATAGGGAAATTAAATATTGAAAGGGAAAAAAGAAGTTACATAAAATTCATTGAATTTTATTTAGTACCTTCATTAGAACTTCACGACTACTTCCGACACCGCCACCACCACCACGATCTTTTTCTAACACAAAGAGAGCGTCTTTCACCGTTATTGTTGGAACAGGACCATTAAGTGGTTGCTGTTGACCGGTAATAGATGGATTGGTAACGAAATTGGTGAATGAATTTCGTTGGGATTCTCCTTTCCTGGTACTAGCAAGATTTTTAGCATTTGAGATTGATCTTGAACGTCCACGGGATGGTTTAGAAGCAGCTACGGGTGTTGTATCACTTCCATTAATTGTTGAAATTTGAGGTTGAATATCAATCATCCAACTTTTAGTTTTACCACCAGCTGCTGATAATGCAGTCATATTGGTATTCTTCGTATCAACCGTAAGTTTATGTATAGAAGGTATAGGTAAAGTACCCTCCCTCTCTTTCTTTTGACGTTTATGACGTTTTGGTGCAACGATGGGTACTGGCGTATTTTCTGATTGATCCTTTGCGTCTTCATATTCCGTCTTATCATGTTTAGATCCTGCTCGACTTTCCTTTCTTTTACGTTCTTGTTCACGTTCTACCTTTTCAATTGCAAGTAATTGTGATTTGACGTCTAAACTAACAATTTCTTTATACATTGGTAGATTCTCGACACCATTTACACTTGGATGATGTGTATGTTCCGAGTGTATTCGATGATTTTTAGCAGCAATCATTGCTTCCACTAAAGATCGTATTCTTTCTTGTGTAGCAAGCGCTAAATAAGCCATCACATCAGGATTGACTCCTAATTTTTGTTGCATTGCTAAAACAGTTTTATAGAAAAGTTAGTTAACACGTCCTTTTTCCCCTTTATATATATATAATTTTCACTTTCTCCTTTAATATATTATTTTTTCCTTAATATAGATAGTAGTTACCTATAGACGTAACTACACTTGCAAGCTTATTTTGATCCAAGAAACTCTGCGTCCGTGAACGATCTGGAAGTTGTAATGTAGAAGTAGATTGTCGAGCTCCCAATAATTCATTCTCTCTTAGAATATTATCTGTTTCTTCCTATATTACAAAGAGTTATTACAGCTAATAAAAAGAACTAATTTATTTAAGATTTACTTTATTATCATACTTTTAGGTCAACTCCAGTAAAAGTTAAAACATCGTCATAACTAGCCTTTTCGTCAGTCGCTCCTGCAATACCAGGCACAGCCGGTGCAGTCGCTCTTCTACATAATTATTTACAAAGCAAAAAAAAATTTTTTAAAGAAAATTCTTTTTTTTTAGTTTAGAAGAAGAAATAAATACCTTAATATAGAATTGCCTAACTGTGTATTTACTGGAGTTACTAAAGGTGAAGGAGGAATGGTGTTAAAATAATAATAGTAAAAGCTTTTGGAATTCCTTTCTTATCATATATAACTATTACTTACAACGCGGTAAAACCATTATTTGATTAGAAAGGTTGTTATTTGAGTAAATAGCAGATCTATAACCAGTAGGAGGTTGTAGAGGTGGGCCCATTGGTTGACGAGGATTTGGAGAAATTGTGGGCATATTTTGATCAAGAGAAGGAATAGGTCTTATAGCGCTTACATTTGAACTATTTGAAGTGGTTCCCCCAGCCTGTTGCTCTAATTTTACAACAGGTGTAGTGGTGTTAGTTAATTTTTTCATTCTTTAGGAAAAAAAAAAATTTTTTTTTTGGCACTCTTTTTTTTATACAATTCAATCCAAAGAAAGGGTGTGTAAGAAAAAAATTTTTTTTTGTGCTGTAAAAAAAAAATCGAGTAATGGGGCTTGTTCAGAATATTGGCAAATAACATCAACCGTTAAATTTTATTATGCGGCCTAAAATTAAGAGATTCCATTTCACTGAATTTAGGAATTTTGAAACGTCTTTCATATGGAAAACAAAAAGATGTGTGGGTTTAAAGTTGGTGGGACTGGATACTGTTTGTACTCTACATGCATATACATTATCACAACGTTCTTGGCAAAAAATTTTCTGATGGTTATGTGTGGGAGGATATGATACGCCAAATGATAGAAATATGAGAAATATGAACGATTCGATGCGGTCGCTTTTTTAATTATGTTTGTAAAACGTACATGATATTAAAAAGATAGTGCTTCCCTAATGGTAAGTTGCAAGAGTAAAAAAAATTGTCGATTCAAAAAAGATTAATTTAATTCGAGACCTATAAAAACGTTATTGCCCTGTTACATAAATTACTTCAACCAATCTTGATCTGCAACATTTCCCTCAGTCTTTTTTATATTACAAACCCAAATATAGACACAAATATGTTTCTGCTTTAAAAAAAAAAAAAAAACCGTTAAAAAATATCTTTATTGGTCTTCTAAATAAACTTTTTTTAATATGAAAGCCACACATAACGCCACAAAGATTTTAGGGGTCCAAATATTTAGTTTAGTTAATATTGGCTAATGTAATAATAGCAATAACGCTAATATTTTTTTCATTAAAATAATAATATTATTATTTGAAATATCAGATTTTTAATCATATAAATATAATCCACTTTAATTTGATGCTTTTATGTCTTTATTATAAAGACTAATATTTATTGTTTCTATTTTAATAAAAAAAAATGAAAAGTTATTTTTATTTTATTAATTAATAATATATATAATAAAACTTGATATAACAATCTGTAATAAACTGATTTTAATCTTTAACAAACTTTTTTCTCTAATCAATTAATTTTTTACTATTCACCAATTACACCTATCCCAACTCCTAGCATTTCTGAACCTCCTATTACCCCTTATAATGTTTCATCTTCTGGTTCTAATAAATGCACTCACATCACTTCTTCCTCTTCTGATAAAAATAATGCTTCTATCCCCAAATCAATTGATCCTAAAATCCAAGCTTATATAGATGAACAAAAAGCCGTTATTGCAGAATAACAGTCTCAAATGCAAGAAATAATGACTCAGCTCATAGCCTTGACATCCCAAGCTCAACAATAATTTTCTTCCTTCCTCTAAATATACAATCATGATTACTACAAATAATAATGATCACTTTAATATTAACTATAATATGTCTTTATCCCCTACTATTTCTTTCACAATACATAATGTCAAATCTTTTCAATGTGAACACAAAAATATTTCAATTTATGATACCTTTCTTCATATAAATACAGATTTTGTTAGATTACAAGAAATATAGCACAAATCTGATCAAGTATATTGCTGTTCACGTAATCCTAATTATCTTTCATTTTGGAACACTTCCATTAATATACAAACTGGTGTTGTTCTTTTAGTTAAACATAATTAGTCCAAGTATATTCAAGGTTCTTTTTTATCGAACAATAGGTTTATTTTTCTAGATCTTTTCTTACCTGGTCATACTAAACTTAGAGTTTTTAATATCTATCTACATGTCTCCATAACTGCTAATAATCGATCTACATGACTTTAATTGCACAAACTTATTCTTGATCACATCAAAGATGAGCTAAAAAACAATTTCAAAATAATAATTCTTGATGACATCAATGCTGACTTTAATAAATATTGGTCTTATATAGAAAATAGAACTACTCTCCTCTGGAAATATGGAAGCTTTGCAATAGAAAGGGAGGAAACTCTAAAAAAATTTTTTTTTGGAGTTAATGTTAAATCTGGACTTATTTTATTAAAAAAATCATAATTAGCTTAGAAAGTAAAATTTTAATTTTTTTAGAGTTTTCTCCCTTTCTACTGCAAAGCTTCCATATGGATTTTATGATAAACTCTTTGCCCTTAATTTTTTAGATTTATATGATGTTTGTCATGATTCACCCTAACCCACTTTCTATCACACATCATTCTAATCTAAAATGATACTATTTTTGCCTTATCTAACCTAATTTCACATTTTCTCTATTCTGATATTAAATCACTTTAACTCTACTCCTCTGACCACAAAATTGTTTATGTTCACTTTGCTAACATCAAAAGATCCAGCTTAACTCGATCAAGACTGAATCAAAATAAGCATTAAGTTCCCAATCTCAGAGTTATGAATTCAACTAAATGGAATGATTTTACAGATCACACAGATTTTCTTTATAATAATCAAAACCTCTAATGACTCAAAGATCTCTCACCTTCACTCTCAAATATGAACC